AAATTTTAATTACTTTATGGGTAAAGTAATAAATTAATATTTGGGTGCAAAAAATATGTATCTGATTATAATAAAATTAATTTAATTTAAGTGTGCTTGTTACAAACAACTAAATCATTTTTTGTATTAATATTTTAACACAAATGTTTATATTATTAATTATCAAAAATAATAAATTATTGTTCAAAATTAATGACCGTAATACATGTAATTCGTTGAATTTATTATAAAATCCAATTCAAATACTTATACTAACGTAGTGTATATTAAATTTTAAAGTAAACATTTTATTAAAATATTGTAACTTTTAATAATAATTAAAAATTAAAAATCATATCATTTTAAAGCTTTGTTTTCAGACAGTAAATTAAAAAGAAATGATTTCAATTGAATTTATTATCAATAAATAATGACTGATAAACGAGAGGTAGTCCTAATTAGGGGTTTGTGAGAGTTTCCCATTGAATAGCATTAAGAGGACAGTGTTGTGTCGCGAGTTTCAAAAACACATACATTTTTATAATTGGTTTTGCATTGATGGCAAAAAGGGTTTGAGGACTACCTCTCGTTTATCAGTCATTATTTATTGATAACAAATTCAATTGAAATCATTTCTTTTTAATTTACTGTCTGAAAACAAAGCTTTAAAATGATATGATTTTTAATTTTTAATTATTATTATAAGTTACAATATTTTAATAAAATTTTTACTTTAAAATTTAATATACACTACGTTATAGCTGTTAGGATTAAAATACTATAATATAATAAATATTTTTTACAGGAAAATGAACCGGGCTTATAGCGCACCGACCGACTATTAGTTGAACTACTAGATAACTACTAAATTAAAATGTAAATTTAATTTATATATAATTTATAATGTACTTTGTTTATAATATTAAAAAAACTACGTTTCGGGCAACAAGTAATTTAATATAATTATAAAATGTTTTATTATATTGATGAGTTTACGTCTTTATTTATAATAATAATTTATAAGTAGCATTAACAAAACTAATTGCCTAATAATTTAATTTTTAATATACTAATAATATTAATAAAAATTCATGTAAACTTTAAAATATTAAAACTTTTAAAGAACAAATAAAATATTTTTAAAATTTTATAAACCAAAACCTCATCAAGGCAACCAGAATTTAATATGAATTTTATAACCAAATATGTTACACCCAATAAATAAAACTAATTTTTTCAATTGAATAAATCAAAATTAGTTGCTTGCTAAAATTATTTATTTAATTAATTCAAAAATCGGTACAATAATATTTAATCGTATAAATAATACTCTGATAGTTGATTATATCGATTATAATAGGGTGGTCTAAATTCAGGTAATTGACCATGATGATAATGACCTGGTACATTACAATTGGTTGACTGTTTCGGGTTTATTGTCGCCTCTATCCAAGATCTAACATCCGGTACAAATCCGAAAACATTAGGTATACCACCCAATGGACAGCCCCCCTCCACAAATGACACCACACCCACCAATTGGCCATTCACTGTCATAGGTCCACCGGAATCACCCTGTTCAAATAAAAATTACATTAATTTTCTCAAACATAATACAAGTAAATATTGTGCTGGATACTAACTTGACAAAAACTCTGATCCCTACGGTAGGTGCATATATGATCACCCTTAATCGTGGTGTTCAATGGTGCCCACGCCCGAGCACAGGTAGCCCGATCAATTACAGTCAATTCAGCCACTTGTAAATTTTGTGCAAACGAATTATCATCGGTGCCATTAGTCTTACCCCACCCTGTTACAATAGCTTTTGAGCCAACGGGCGGGTAGCTAGTGGCCAGGGTAGCGTACCTCACCGTGCTACTTTGAGGAACCGTGTCGTTTAGTTTAATTAGGCAGAAGTCGTGCGATAATTTTGCAAGGTTAAATTGCGGGTGTATGACCACTTTCGATTGTGTCGTATTGAACGGCATATGTTTATAGTCTGTACCACCATACTCAATTAATGTTTGGGTGCCATTCTTTCTACTAAGGTAATAGTATATTGTGGTATTATGTAATTTTGTTTAGATTATTGTAAGCTACATATTAATTAAATAAATTCAATTATAAAATCTCTAGTTATAAATAATTTTTAAAAGTTTATAAAAATTAATATACATATAATTAAGTGACAAATATAATTGTTATAAACTAATTAAGTTGTAATATAAAAGTAGATAAACAATTAGTAAAAACTTCTAGTTATGAATCAATAATGTTTAGAAAATAACAAGCTAATATAAATAAAAATATTTTTATTTTTAGAAACATATTTGGGACACAGAGACCAGTTAGTAAGCCTAATCTATCACTATAATACTACAGGGAAAGGTAGTAAATATATTGTAAAATGACCACATGCAATTATTGATTTACTTTGAATATAATTTGTCAATGACTTACCCGTTACAACAATGGCCAGCCGTGAGCACCCAGTCTTTATTTAGCAACGATCCACCACATTGGTCAACCTCAAATCGTCCAGGTGCTATTTCTTTATCAACCACAAACAGGATGAATATTTGCCATGGTGCCAAGCTTAAAGGGGCATTATGGCCACCGACTACCCGGGTAGATGGTAGTACATCACGGCACTGAGCCATAAACACCGTGGTATAAAAAACAATGGATAACATTAACAAGTTCATCTTGTTAATTTGTAAATACTGTATTATAAATATATCAATGAGTTACGGTATGTTTTTTGCTGTTTATATACTAACTTTATCTTGGTAATCGAAAATAATTAATTACTTAAATCTTTATGGGTGCAACTAAATAGTTTTTAATTTTAAAACAAACCTTTAATTTAATTGCAATAATGATATTATTTAAATAAAAACAACTTTCTAATTAATTATAAATTATGCACCCATTTACTAGCATGTGTTACTAGACATATGAGAGATATTGTATTATTAAGTTAAATTATCCGGGTTTCAATGACCAAATTTATCATTTATGTAATTAAGCAATCAATATATAATAAGTCATTTTGTAAATACATTATATATTTATGAAATATTACTAGTATTTTGGTGCATAAAACATTTTGTGTGGGATTAGGTGAAATAATATGATTTAAGTGTGCTTGTCGCAAATAAATAAATCATTTTCTATAAAAACGGTTAAATAAATGTGTTAGTAACAATATAATTAATTGTAAATACATATTTTGTTCTGGTTATTATCTATTTATTGCAACTTATTATTTGAGTATATTTTACACCCATTTAAGAGTTTATAAAAAATGTTATAAATATTTGTGTAATAAATTCATAAAAATTATTTATGCACCCAAATATAGCAAATAATTTATTACTTTACCCATAAAGTAAATAAAAATTTAAAGTTCTATACACAGTATATCCCAATATAAGCATTGTAAAATATTGCAAAGTAAAATAAATTATGATTAATTACAAAATGTATTACCGACTAGGTCATAGTTATCATATATAACCCGTACACAAACCATTAATATTTTACCAAATAAAACTTTTATTAATAAAATATAAAACAATCTTTGCTATAACTAGAACCTTGTAATAAAATAATGATTTGTTTAAAATAAATATTTTATTAATTGTGTTCAAAAATTGCATCAATACCTCAACCCCTACTGTCCCATACATACCTGGGCTGACAAAATCTTTATTATTGATTATAGCTTGTGAATTGCGATACTTACCCGTTGTGAACATACAAGCGCCGACATAGCGTTTCAGACACATACCGGCGCCATTGACTGGACACATTCACATCGGAATTATAAAAATTATTATCTAAACTAGTTTAGTTATTATTTTAAAAAATTATTAAAAATCAAGAATATGCTTTGGGAAAATTGAACTTTATTTAATTCATAGATAATTAATTATTAGGATCCGTTAAAAGTTTGCAAACATAACCAAATTATTATAAATGATTAACAAATTAACCAAACAAATCAGATAAAATATTTTGCAGACTAAAATGATTATCACTAGATTGTCCCTGATTAGTAGCCGGTTGACCACTCATAGTTGAATCGATCCATGACTTAACAGCGTATGGGAATCCATAAACAAAAGGCGCTCCAAGAGGGCAACCTGCTTTGTTAAATGATACCACGCCCACCAACTGACCATTCACAGTTAACGGTCCACCGGAATCACCCTAGTTAAATTAAAAATTAATCAGTATAATATTATAATAAAACTATAGCACTATATCTTATAAAACATTTATAATATAAGATACCAATATATAGGTTTTAACTTTACTTTTGTATGACAGTTATAATGTTAACTAATTCTATACTGACATATTAAACCTTATAAAAGTCTTATAAAAGTGCTTGATACTAACTGAACAAAAGCTCTTGTCTTTGTTTTGGGTGCAGAGCTGGTAATTGTGAACCTGTCCGCCCACTGATAGCAATTCTAGGGCACAGGTAGTCCGATCGATGATGGTCAATTCAGCCGTTTGCAAATTAGCAGGGTCTGAATTGTTATCGGTGCCATTAGTTAGACCCCAACCGGTGACAATTGCTTTGGTTCCAGCGGGTGGGTAGCTAGTAGCCAAGGTAGCATACCGCACCGTGTCACTTTGTTGAGCAGGGTCGGTTAGTTTCATGAGACAAAAGTCATATGCAAAAGTTGCCGGATTGTATTGGGGATGATATACGATTTTGGACGATGTCGTGTTAAACGGGAGGGTATTTATATTTGTACCACCGTAACTTATGTCAGCATGTCCACCCTCGGGGATTCTAAAATTAAAAATATAAATTAAATTTATAAAAATGAGCATAACTAATATAATTAATATAACAATTTTGCTTAAATTTTTATAGTAACAGGATAAATGTTAAAATTAATTTTTATAATTTTAATTTCAATCGGTATTAAACATAATTTAAATTTTATGTTAGTATATTAATTGCTATTTATGGTCTACGTTTGGAAATCACTGATTTATAACTTACGGTTGACAACAATGGGCAGCAGTGATGACCCAGTCCTTATTGAGCAATGACCCACCACATTCTTCATAATTGGCATATCCAGTAGCGTTTGGTTTAGTAACTGGAAACAGCGTATGAATTTGCCAAGGTGCCAAACCTATGCCCGCATTATGACCACCAACTACACGGGTAAGTGGTGTTATATCACGGCTATTTGCCAATAGCACCGTGGTATATAATACAATTGTTAACAATAACAATTTCATTTTAAAATATAATAAAATAATGATACACTCTATATACCAATTATTTTAAAATTTGTTAATAAAATTGTATTTGGTGAAATAATAAAATTTAAGTGTTTTAAGTGCGGTTTATATACTATAAGTTATAGTCTATAACAGCGAGTTCCTTGTATTACAAATTATTACAACTAGTGATGTATAGACTAAGGTAAGCTAAGGTAAGTAAATGAGTTTATTCAACGCTAGTTATTTATACCTTTATAAGTTTTAGTCATAAACATTACAAATATAACAGGTGAAAAATATTAAAA